TCTAGCGGTTACCGAATCCACATACAAAAAGTTCGAAGACTTTTATGGACAATAGATACGTGTAAGCGAATCGAATGCAAGTGCTGAGGTCCACGCAGCAGACGAAGATGAGTCGTGTAAAATATATACAATAGAGTATGAAAAAACTTTCGCGGAAACCACACAGCGAGGAGTGGGAGAATACCGTAACATATGAGAAGAATAAATTTCGCCAATTTTCCCTTATTCTCTATAGTTGGGTGCAAATTCGTCCAAAAAGCCTCATAAGAACAAGCAAAAGAGACAGAAACTAACCAAACGAAAAGTCTATGAAGAACGTCAATAATTAATTTATTTATGATCTAAAAAAAGTAGCTTTGCAAATGGTCGTCAAGACTAAACAAGACCAAAACCGTACCCTCCTTTCCTGCAGAGAAATGGCCAAAGGGTGCATAAGAAGGTCCCAGATCCCTCAAGAAATAAAGGAACACCAAACAAAAAAATAATCAATGAATTCCTACCCTAGAAAAGATACGAGTAAAAAAATCATCTTTTTCTAAAAAAATAAAAAGTAAAAATTCTATATTAACAACCTCGTGTCTGCTTATTGATGAAAAACATTGGAAAATCATCTTTATTCAGAAACAAGTTGCGCAAAGTACCTCTAAAGGAGACTTTACCTGCTCACTTAATACCAAATCCTGGTTCCCTATTTCGAAGTAACACCTCGAACAATGATCAAAGGAAAAGAAAGGAATAACACTGGTATAGCGGACCTAATTTGAAACTAAGTAAGCTTTCTTAAACGTACAGTGTAAGATCCATTGGAAGCGTAAGGACGATCCCCAAACTTCCACAGAGGATAGCCGATCTCGCGATCCACGGGGAACACGTTTCTTTCCATGACTGGAAATCAAATCGTTGTTCTTTAAAACATTTCGAATTTTCTATACTACGATAAAAATAAAAGGAAATTTTGGTGAACTTCTCTTACTATAAGTTAGTCAGTTAATTGGAGGTAATACCGGACACACTAATCCTATGTTAACCACAACTACTTTTCGACTCTTGCATACTACTCACATCCTGGTTCGAGGTCCACTTCGTACAAATTCCAAAAATTAGTCGAATCGTTGATCATCATAAGTTTGTCCTCTGTCCAGCTTGGGCAGTAGTAATTAACCTATAAATGGATTGCATTAGTCTTGTTTACTTATATCATTAATTACCTAGACACGTCTGAATATGGCAGCTACTAATTACCACCTTAAAACGTAAATTAAATAGTATAAACATCCTTCCTTACTTGGACGGCCCTTCCTCACTGGTTGTGCAGGACCCAGCATAATCTCCATTTTTCGGAGTTTTGCTAGCTTAGCCACAGTGTTTCCCTGAAGTACCTAGGTCACCCAGGCCAAAGTTTCCCCTATGTCGTCACCACGACAGGCAGTCGCCGTCCTTGTTGATCAGAGAGAGATTTGCCATCAAGGTTTACTTTATATCATACTTTGATGTCAGGACGGTGGTGGATCCTGGTATTAGTTTACTCCTAGTTGAGCCTCCTAGTGTAAACCTCGCTCGAACTCCTTCTCAGCTTGGGAGACCCTGCCGGGAGAGGAATTCCGCACTGTGCATCGTAGCCTCACACCTAGGAACACCACCTGGCTAAGATGAGCCGATAAACCGTTGGGAGGAAATAGTATAAAACCATAAAAAATAAAAAACTTCCAACATTTGCAAACAGTTGCGAAGTTTTGAGAGTCTGTGTCCAAGTCGGTCTTTACGCTGACGTTACCGCTGCTTAGTACTATTTGTTTTTTTTTTGTAAAGAAGTATAACAGTGGCGTGGGTGCGATGTAGAGGTAGCGCAGAGATGTTATACCGACCCCCTTCCCAACGCACTCCTCCAAACCACGTGGGAAACTCAGCCGAGCCATCTCCAAAATTTCAAGGAACAACGACTAGACCAGACTAGACCGACTACGACATTCATAAAGAAGAGAAAGCCTCAAGCAGCAGCAGAAACAACACGAGAGATTTTCAAAGACCAGAGAATGACTTCGAGGAAAACGAATCGAATGCAAGAAGTGCTGGAAGACGCACAGTATGAAGGATCATGTAAAATTAAAAAACTGTGAAGAAGTTCAACCATCGTTTTGGAAGGCGTCTTACAACTGACATCGCGCGAAACCTCGCCTGTGACAACTCCTGTTTGGCGATTTTTCTTGAATCACATGATATAGTAGTTTCGTCTAATCCTTGATATCACTGCCTTTCACACCATTGTACGTTTGTTTTCAGTATATTTCTTCGATCACCAGCAAAAATCAGGACTTCGGATCATTTTGTTCACATGATTGAAATATTGATCTCGGAGTATATCGAAGAGAACTTTCCATACTAAGTGACAAAGATTCGTGGACAGTTTGTGATTTCCGTAATTCTGAAATGTGTACTAAAAGGAGATTACATCGCTTGGAATCTCCTTCCACAGTTTCCTTGTACAGCTTGACAAACTCAGACTCAACTAACACGAAATGGACGAACGAAAGGACAATAACGAGATCCCAGGATCGACTTCCTATCAACCTCGGCATTGGATTACAAAATCGTCGTTTTCTTTCTCAGCAATCTCGAGGTTGTTAAACAGCGATTCGGCGAACAGCTGAAGAAGGCGATTCTGCCGAAAGGCCAGCTACGGTTGTATTGTATGTGTGTTATTGTATGAAGTAAACGTAAGCTGTTTAACAACCTCGAGATTGCTGAGAAAGAAAACGACGACTTTATAAGAAGGAGATAGACCACATACATTATTTTTCCCTTCATGTCAACTTTTATTCAATTTTAATGAGAATTATGATATTCCATGTAGAGGTTGTGGTTTCGGTGTCGTCCCGTGAATGTACAAGAAAGTGAGGTGACATTACTCTACAACAATTTCAAAGACTCCATCCTCATGATTTGTTCTACCACTTCTTTTTAGACCACATTGTACCAAAAGTAGAAGGATGGAATTGTGTGACATTTTGAACAACAGCAGTGTTTGTCAATTTAGACCTCAATTATAAATAGTATGTTCAATGACATCGCGCTGTCGCGGTCGATCACACATCTGCACGGAGTGGTGTGCCACCTCAACAGTAGTACTGATTAGTACAGCACAGTAGATAAAAATATGAAGTAATTTGAAATTAACAAGCTCCTCCGTCAAATTTTGCACTGACGTAAATAATGAAAGCCTTACAGGAGGCGGAACTCTCTCAGTAGGCATCTTCCAATTCCACAAGTCCTACCGATTTTACCTTTTTTTTAAAGAAGTGGAGGTGGAAAGATGTATTTCTTGAAGAAGACCCATCAATTCTTAGGCTTTCATCGATTACATCATAATTTTGGAAGTACGGATCACCATTTTGGTTCGTCCAATAGTCCGAGTCAGTTACAGGATATCAGCAACCTTCCTGCATTCTTCTCTCCCAAATTTGCATTATTAGGAGAGTTTAAAAGGAGCGTTTTAATTGCTTTTAGAGATATCCATAGGTACCCGCTCGAAATCAACCATGAAAGTTGAAGTGAATAACACAAAAGTGCTTATCATTGGCAAGTGAAGAAAATCACCTTTTTCCCTGTTCCATCTTTAACAACAGTTTCATTACTGATAGTACCGTCGTCATGTAGCATGGCAAAATAGATTGACGTCTCGTCCCAAGGCTGGAATAGCAAAAATCCATCAAGATACAGAGCCCCTTATCGAGTATTATTAAAACATTTGGTTAAATATGAACGCCTACAAGAAATACTCGACACTGTATTAAATCATCTAAAACATAATCATGCAGATTATCAGTACACTAAAGAAAGTATATTTTGCACGCCTGCTTTAAAGTACGCGGTTAGAAACCTGGTCCTTACGAAGAATCACTCACCGTTATAAAACGCGCAGTCGATAGGCAAATGCTAGGAGAATTCAGTACCACACAAGTGAGAAGAAGGATCCAAAGCGCCAATTTAAGCATTGATCAGAAATCAAAGATGCCGTTCCATACGCCAAACTGTGAAAGATAGGTAGGGCCGGATATGTAATGCATATGAACGACAACCGATGGACAACAGCCGTTAGTAATTGGATTCCCGGATTGCCAAACGTACTGTAGGGACCTCGGGACCCGATAGTTAAAGTCCTTCACGAAAACTCTAGAAGAAAGATATGGTGCTCAACGAGTACGTGGCGCCAGGAGAATCCGTTGAGCCACTCTTGCACGCGGCAGGGAGAAATGGAAGGTTTAGTCTGCACGAGTCCGCACGAGTCACTCAACGTTCAAGAGAACGTGGTACAGATGGCAGGTAACAACATCGAATTGATAGTATTGATTCATACAGTAGTTAGCACAAAGTATCAGAAAACTGCTCTAGTGAATGCTTTATATTTAAGGATTTTAAATTGCGGCTGGTGAAGAACAAGCTTACCTGCACGTCCGTCACCAGTGAAAACTCATTTCCGAGACGTTTATCAAAATTATAAAATAGTACAGAGCTCTTATACATCAACTCAGCTAAAGTAGCCTGCTGTCAAAAATTAGCACTAATATGGCAGAAATTCGACTACAACGCAACAAATCTCCTCTGATTCATAAACGCCGTTGATTGGTCGAACTGACGACTCAGAAATGATTGAACTCCAGAACCCAATCAAACACCAAAAAAGATAGATTTTTGATACTGCACGTCAGCGAGTCTTATAAAACAGTCACCCAAGTGCACTGAACAAACATGGATTTAAGGTTAATTTCAATACCGTTTAATTTAATGGGTCACGATAACACCTTCGGCGGTCGATGTTTGCCTCCCACTGTTTAAAGCAAAAAAAACTTTACTTCTTCGCAGGAGTCATAGCGTCAAGATTTTACGCCCTATGGATCACCAACAAGGTACTCATATTACAATCAATGATAAAGGTGGAATTGTAAGAAGTTTTGCCAAAGAATATTTCTTGTCAAACGATGTGTACTCAGTTCACATACATTTCAATCCCATCCTTCAGTACTTACCATATTCACGTGATTCCACTGCATCCATACCAATCTCTTTCCATCGGATGAAACCCGTGGCGATGCGTAGAAATCTGCACCACTCGCCTGTGATAGAACATAGCAATTTACAATCTCATTCTTAAATATGACAATGTTACCACGTACATTTTTAGTCAACATAAATGAAATTTGGTCTTGGAACTTGTTCTTCATCTTAGAAGATAAGCCTTAAGTCTCTTTTACAGTATGATTAAACAGACAACAAATCAGAGCTATTCAAGTGACTTCTCAAAGCCTGACATGAATGCAGCGAAAAGACTCACGAAGGCATTCATAAACAGATTTAGTATTCAGTAAAATAAATATAAGAGAAGGAAAGTGTTGAGCAGTGGTTAAAGGTGACCGCAATACACATGGATCGACCCCTGCACCCCAGGCCTCCACTAAGCCCTCCATCCCTCCTGGGTCGCCAAATTGCTACCAGACCTGTCTGGGAGGATAGCAGCACTGGCTTGATACATCCACGAGTCACTGTAAAGGTCAGATATGCATTCAATCACCTCCAAACGATAACGAATGCATGGTGCACCTCTCGGGGATCTACCAACGCCGAGGACTTGGCCCTTTCTAACTACAACAGATCACTGAATTTTGAAATAAAATGGATAATAAGAAGAATGCGAACAAAAGAACCAACTTATATGTAATGCTGAGATATTTGCAAAACTCCGGACCGCAGGTGTATGCGGTGGGGAACGAACACGCGCTGTTGTCCTTACCGGGGAGCAACGCACTTCACCACCACACCATCCGGGTCCTTCGTTTTGCCTGTCTCTCGGCTAATTCTATCGATCTTTTCGCCATCAGCAATCACCCGTCAACGGGATTGATCTGGGAAGCCCAAATCAGCACTAAACCAAGTTAAGCTGAGAGACAGGCGAAACGAAGGATCCGGATGATGTGGTGGTGAAGTGCGCTGCTCCCCGGTAAGGACAACAGCGCGTGTTCGTACCCCACCGCATACACCTGCGGTCCGGAGTTTTGCAAATATCTTAGCATTACATACGAGTTATATTTCGCAACATACCCTGCCATTAAAAGAAAAAAGCAGTAAATAAAAGGGTTAAGAACCAACTTAAACCTAAAAATAACCCGTCGTATAAAATACCATGAGCACTTGAGGAAACTACGAAAATTGAATAAGGATGAAGCAAGAACTAACCACTACTTTCTGCTCCTTTGTCTTTCTATTAATTGAAATTATCCGATTTTCCGGATCGCCACCTCGTTTTTGATGACATTCGTTCACGCAAAACACGTGCGTGCCGGAGCACGAGAAATCGGAAAATCTGCAGTCAATAATAATTATGAATTTACGGGCCGCTTTTACAATACTATGGAATAACTTATTACATAAAATAAAACTTTTTTATTTTAGACCAGTCATCTGTCACATCCTACTGTGCGGATCCCAGCACTTCTTGCATTCGATTTGTTTCTTCGTATCAATCATCCACGAAGGTTTTCCAATACTCGCGTGTGGGTTCGGCTACTGCTTCGGGATTTCTCCTTTATCATAAATGTTGTTAAGTGTTAAGTGCTGGTCGAGTTCATTTCCTATGGAGTCCTAAGATGGCCAGGCTAGAGCATTCCCATTTGGATTGGAGGAAATGAATTATTCACAGACAAGTTTGGTACTGACTTACGGAGGAACGACCAATTTGTCGCACCCTGGGCAGCGTCGAGCCAGCACCGTGCTCGTGATGAATAGCTTCGCTACCACTGCACTAACCACATCTATTCCATAAAACAAAACGAAAATGAAAATAGGAGTAATTCTAGCTGGTTTCTGACCAAAGGCAAAGTTAAGACTTTTTCTTTAATATCAGGGGCGCAAATAGACCAACTACTTTAGTGGGAATCTTTAAATACTAGGTGTTTACCACGATGCGAACTATACTATGTGTTATCATTTAAAAACAATATGAAATGACCTTATGCGAAGTTGATTATACCGTTCCTCAGGCAATGTTCTTTTTGAAAAGACAATTTGTTTGATGTCATATATTGCAATGTTAGGAGCATCACATAAACGAAGTCATGCGAATGAAAGTTATGTATTAGGCGTTATCTCATGATGTTATGGAAGTGTATGGCTGAGTTGGATGCGTGTTAATCTGACCTGCCCAAATAGACTCCGAAGAAAGCGAAACCGGTGGAACGCCAGTTATTGTGGACAAATATGTACTAAGAATTTTATGCCTGCTCATTAAGAAAACAGTGAATTATGTCTGACAAATGTGGTTCTGCCACGACCGACTTTCTCTTAACCTCGGCATTGATCAAGTGATTTTCTTCGTATTTTTGTTGAGCAAACGCGAGGTGTTATTATTCTTTGTTCACGATTAAGCTTCACGTAATTCTACTTATAGAAGAAAATTATACTTCCACGTGATTTCTGTGCGGTTGGTCTCTACGTGACATACTTAGTGGAAACCTCATAGGAAGCGGCTCTGAGGAAGGCGAAATCCGCCGAAACGTCAGCTTAATCGTGAAAAAAGAATAATGACACCTCGCGTTTGCTCAAATGTGGTTCTGTTCATGGATATAGATATGCAAAATATATTGAAAATTAAAATGCCTATACAATCAATAATTGAATATAAAACACATTTTCTCTTGCTGTGGAAGGTAGGAACTGTATTTCATTCCTACCGGAATATTCGTTCACATGCGTCAGCAAGTTGAACTGGTTGAACATCGACAGAGATCTGCTCATACACACCTTCTACAGTGCTGTAAACAATTGACCCGTCGTTGAGTGGGATGAACGAGCCCCCACCGTATTCGTGAACTGTAACTCAGTTACAAACTACAGAATAGCTCAAAACATGCGAACAACTAAAGAGTATTGTAAAAGAATCCCACCACAATTTTGTACTGACTGTTGTGGAGCCCATCTAACCCGAGACTTCGACCGTTCCGACGACTGGAAATACAGCTCTCGTTTTCCGGTCGTACTCTGTTCTACCCAGAAAACGCCACCTAAAGGCATTTACAATGTCTAACTCTTATTTCCTGACGTATTCCGTTTTCACACCAGAGTACTATGTGGAAGTATTAAATTCATTTTCTAAAAATCAGAAAGAAACAACAGAGAAAGAGCTCCACCATAACTTTTAAACACGGAGCAGTGTGAAACATCTCAATAAAAAACAATGAACTGTAGATTTCCAAGCATACTTGGATACTTGGATGGCCCGGCCTCACTGGTTGTGCGGGCCCTCCCACAATCTCCACCTTCTCGAAGATTTGCTGGTTTACCCATTGTGCTACCTTGGAGTCTCCAGGTCTTCAACACCACAGGCAGTCGCAGCTCCTGTGGACCAGAGGGAGATTTGCCACCATGCGACTGGTTTGATACCAGGAGGTGGTGGATCCTGGTATTGGTTTACTCTTAGCTACGCTTCCTGATGGTGGAAACGCCGAAAACTCCTTCTCAGCTAGAGAGACACTGCTTGGGGTGGCGGATGGATCCCCCGGGGACCAGCCACGATGAGGCGGTAAACCATTGGGAAGTAAGGCAAAGTAAGAATTACTAAAGAATTACTAGTCTCATTAGGGGAAACGTTAAGGAGTTTTAAGCTCATTATACATTTCACTGTTTTCCATAATCTCATAAAATATTACGCTCATTATCGGATTGTGAATATTGATTCTTATCCGTATAATAGGTATACCTTCAGTGGCTTGTAATTCACAAATTGCCTTGCAATTTCCTTTGGCAAAAAGGTCCGGAGTGAGAATGCTCATCCAACTACCGTACGGAGCCACCGTCACCATTCTTTTGATGACGAATTGGCTGATACGTAAAAAACGCGTCCGCAAGAATATCTGAATAACACTTTAGGCAATCTGAATAGGTGGATATACGTGGACAAATATATCCATCTTACTCCATCTAAGTCTAACAGTATCTTTTTTTTCTTTTGCAAATCATGTCCAAAAACCATTCTATGACGATAGAAATACATGACCGAATAACTTGCACTGTGAAAAGTCTTTGAAATTGGACCATAGAAATTCACAAATTCCTCGAAAATGAACTTGGGCTGCGAACTTGCGAGACAAATAAGTAAAGAAAACAATGTGCACCATCAACTGCGCCTTCGCAAATAAGAGGTTTCTTGCTTGCAAACCGAGTTTAGTTTAACCCCGATATGAGTAATCAGTAATAATTTGTTCTATTCATGAGCTTCGTTGTTATAAAAATTCTATTCGCCAAGCGTCTTGATGCTTTCACCTTCTCTAGAGCAGTGGTGATCGGAGCTGATTGTCCACAACAGCTCCTTCTCATGACGTAGGTCGCCCTTGTCACATCAAGTCGAATCCACTGCAGTGGAGTATCAATCGAATGAATCGAGTTTCATTACTTGGCAGGGAGACTCGGAAGACCTAGATCACCAGAACCAGCGGCCTCGGACAATCGACTCGAATCACTAGAGCTTTGAAGAAGGAGAACACGCCAAAACGTTAGCCGAATAGAAATGTTGTAACCCCTTGTATTCGTCGGTGAAGGTGGTAAAACCAGAGATCGAACGACACTCTCAGAGCTAGTGAACATATATATATATATATATATATATATATATATATATATATATATATATATCAAGTAACTAACGTTAACAGTAATGCAGAACAGAAGTTGTTTTAAATTTAACACGACCAGTCACCACATGTATGACACCGCAGATTTCAGCACTTCTTGAATTCCACGCGTTTCCACGCATCTTTTCTATGAATATCGTTGAATGCTGGTTGAGTCGATTCTCCATCGAGTTCTGAGATAGCTCGACTAGAGCGTTCCCATTCGGATTTTAGAGACTGAACTTTTTCGACAAGTCCGGCAGCAATTCCCGACCGCGGATGACCGACGATAGATTCGATGAGCCTAGATATTTCCGGCTATGAGTGATATATCCCTCACTTCATAACGAATCTGTTGAAGGTACTATCCTACCACATTAACGATGAAAACACCCATAAACCAAATAAAGTCAAAGATATGCTTAATACCTATATAAAATTAAAATGAACTACTCTTTCAAACAGTGGTTTTAGAGGGATATGTGATTTCTACGTTTCTTTAATCTATTCATAGAAACGGAAAGAAACCGACGACGAAGGACGTACAACCAATGAAAAAACCTCGAACTAAGAAAGATTATTAAGGAAGTAAATTATGTCGCAACCGACAATATCAATGTACCCAGCGGAAACGTACATAAACATTTATCACAAAAAACGACAAGCGCACGGAACGCTTCGCGGAGAAGGACAACCATACATTTCATAACTCGATTGCTCAGATGATATTCAACGACTGTCGCTTCTTACGAAATCAAAAACGATTGAAAAACAAATAGGTGTTCAAGTACTGAAACTTACAAGCAACTGAAAATCAGGCTGTCATGCCAATAGCGGTGGTAGCTTCGAACAATCAACCAAAAGCTTTACTTGACAAGAAGAAAAAACCACCAGCTGCTTGTCTTCTTAGTTTCTCTACATTTAATAATAACATTAGGAATTCTACCATCCAAGAAAAACAAATTCCAGTTAAACAATAATTTTATAAGAATACTTAATCCACCGGTAGAATTCACTTTTTCTCTTCAACGGGCACTAAATGCTTTTTAAGATCGCACTCAAACCTACTGCACCCACAACGCTTATAAGTGAACAACGCAAAACCGACTCTTAATAATAAGACAACGCTCAACAGTTAGAAACCTAGCAATAATACTTAGTCGCGGACTTTCGTAACAATTTAAACAAAAACCCATAACAGAAGGGATTTCACGCAGCTAAGATGCAGCGGTATCGCACATTATTCGAACTTGATTCCTTGAGCCAGCGGAAGATCCCTACTGTAGTTGATTGTACAAGTAGACCTTAACAGAACAGCAATAATATAAGGTGTTTATACCGAAAATCAGAACAGTTCTCGAATCTACTATACCACTCTGACTACAGCAGGACATAAAGTAAAAAAAAACTAAAGCTATCAGCGTCGATCAATCCCTGAGGGATGTGCTATGCATACGACTTCATTAAGCATCGTTGGAGGTGATTGAATGTATATCTAATCTTCACGACGACTTGCGCTGGCCTGCCTATGTGTCGAGTTACTGCTGCTATCCTCTCACACAGGTCTCGTAGCAATTTACCGACCCCGGAGTAATGAAAGACCCGGTGGGTCTGGGGTGCGGGGGTCGATCCCATGTGTACTGCAGGGATCTCTGACCACTGCGCTACACTCGCCTCCACCAGGACAAATCCACAGGAAATCTAGATGCATGTTGTGAATGAAAGAGTCGTCTTCGAGATAATAACTACGCACAATATTTTTGATCTCTAATTTGCGCATAGAATCGGTTCATACTTAGAATTTGTACAAAAAATTATGAATACCTATATGGATAATTCAACAACGTATCCTCATAAGAGAATGGCCTAGAAATCTTAGAAATACCATGATAATTGTGAATGAAAACATTTCTATCCACCTTCTCATGTACTGCTTCCAAGAATCGGATCCGGATTCGCGACCCCCACCAGTTTCTTTCTCGCCACCAAATGCTCCTCCAATCTCAGCACCAGACGTGGGAATGTTAACATTCACAATACCACAATCGCTACCTCTCGGTCTACAAAAAAAATTGTGAAGAAAATTCCTCACTGGCTCTCAAAAGTGAACAGCAAAAGATGCAGCAAATAAACAAAATGAAATATTAATCTAAAAAAAACGAAGGATAGAGTATAGTCATATGTACGGCATTTTAAAATTCAAAATATCCAGCAAGAAAAGGAAGATTGCGATTGCCAGCTCAACTGGAAAAATATATTAGTGATAAATATTCGACAAAGGTTGGCCAACTGACAAGGAGTTTCGGCGTGTTGAATTGGGATGTATAATGACCCCTAGCATGGTCTCCTAAGCTGAGAAGCAATCCAAGATGCCCATCCAAAAGTCCAGCTAACGGTAGGGCAATGCCAGAAATTAATGCCATTCCGGCAAAAAACACAGTCACTAACTGGTAAATAAATACGACATGGGAGAACTTTAGGACCGCTTCCAAGATTCCAGGGAAGGAAAACTTTGCAAAACTAAAAAATTGTCAGTTAAGCGGAAATTATTCTGGAACCGATACGAATCTTCGTGATTCGTGAAGAGCCACTGAAATAGTTAATTAAGCAGATTACGGAAAGAACTACTCCATATTACAAAGCGAACACCTTCGGGGGAATACTTGCGAAGGGCAGAGACAAAACGGGTGGCTCAAAACCTTCAACTGCACAAACTCACTCAATCAATTCTGTTAGCATGAATATTTAATCATTGTAGTACAAACACAAAGAATTTAGCTCATCGTACTTTAGCAGCAATTCAGTTAAGATGGAGAAGAAGAATAAATAGTTAACAGTAAAGACGACTCACCCAATCCATTTGAAGACATTTTGTATGTTGTTAGTGAAAAGCGACGAACTCAGACCTTGAGCCACCTGAACCTCTTAGGATAAAACTCTCATTGGAGATCAATTGCACGACTAGGTAGAAACCCTCCTCCTCCATCTTTGAATATATTATACAAGTATTGTTAAAATATCGATAGCTTGAGTAAAAAGTCCTTAGAACTATTCCATCGATAGTTGAGAAATCTGAAGACATTTGCAACCAAAACATTTTGTTCAAAAACAAGTAATGACCAAAATACCCAACCCCGTATATTGATGAAGCGTGCAATACTTATCTCGTTGTTGAATTTGATAGCTTCGTCCAGGTCCTTCACCTTGATAACGTAGAGAATTGGCGCAAAAGTCTCACGCATTATCACTGGAGCGTCATGGGGAAGCCCAGTTACAATTGTAGGTAGCACAAAGTTTCCATCTCTCTGTAGAATCTGTAAAAACACTGAGTAAGAGAAAGAGAGAAACGCAGAGCAAGGGCCTCCGTTGTGAAGTGTAATACGCGAGCCCCGGAAAGGATAACCGTGGTTCGACTTGGCCCATGGTCCATGTTTTGCGAATATCTCAGCATCATTATGGTTTTATTTCACAAAAAATTACTTCCCAAGAAAAGGACTCCGTTCCACTCCTCCGAAGTCCTTTCTAGGCATAAATGCACAGACGAGAAAGTGGGCTACTAATTTGGCGAAACATAGCATTGAAGCAAATCTTAAATGTAGTATCGTTGTCTTGTTCGAATTCCAATAAATTTCCAGCGACAGTCAAAAAACACTTTCGAGAGTGTATTTACATAAATCTGAGCAAATTCTATGCGAAAATACATCACTTATAACGTTGTGATTCGAACCACCCATAAGCTCCCGCCCTAAAGACATTAGAGGTTGAAAAGTAGTTAGCTGCATTCTCTCCAGCTACCAAACAGGCTTCAACCGTTTTCTAGTCAATTCGAAAACGAATATCTACGTGTATAACGTACGCTCACTGATCTCCTACAGGGATCTCACACCGATTAAACGCGAGGCAAGATGACGCGCTCCCAGATGGCGGATAGGGGTTTAATCGCGGACAAAAGTGAACTTTGCTTTTCTGAGACACAGGTGGATCCTGGGGATGGACTTCCTGTTTCTGCTGCACTGATTAGGCACATACTTCTTGTATTTACGAGGCGTAATAATGCATGCGTGCGTGGGTGCGCCCTCTTTTATGCGAACTGCATTCTACTGGTCAATTCGGCGAAAAACCTGCAATCGAGTAACAGAGAAGTATTTTGGGAGAGAGTCGGTTAGAAGTCACTGAGAAGTTACCTAGTTAGGAGCCCGTACACTCCGGAAGTGACTGGCAAGCCATTCTTCAGTATATTCAGCCTCCACGTTTAGAGCTCAGCAAGTTATACGTAAGTATCAAAAGCTAAACACAGTAAAACAAACCGGACGAAACAAGACCAATTTTAGTGAGAGTGATTCTCGTCAGTGTTGCTCTAACACTCGGTAACTAGGTCACCAATGCGGACGAGGAAGTAAGCCGCAGGGGATTAATTCAGACTCCAAAAAAGAGCCTATAGTTTTGTTGTGGAATCTCATGAAGAATTAGAATAACGTCTGATTGCTAACGATATATCTTTCCTTAAATCATATGGGCAAAAAACTAAGAAATGGAATCCACTATGTCGCCATAAAACCCATAAAACTCACCCTTATAATCTCAGAAAAAACCCCTTCTTTCTAAAAAAAATGTGAAGAACACAGTTCCGAAAAACCAGATAACCTTGCAAGTTATGTTATGCCGCAACTGATTTCTCTGGAGCAGCTATTTGCAATTTTGTCAGTGGGCACTCAATTATAGCAACCTGTAGAGTAAGCAGCAGTAAGTCCATAACTAAATCTCCGCTTTACTCTACGTAAGCCAGTAGTTTCCAAATCACCAGTATGAGAAATATGTAAATGGGTCGTCGTGCACCACGTCGCTAATTACTACATATCACATAAAAACATGGGTAAAGAAAAATCCTACTTTTCCTCCATATTCTACTTTACCACCGGCTGCCATCACTTCATCAACAGCTGCCTAAAAAATTTTGATGAATTAAACGCAACGCTTGCTATTCAAAAAGCTACTTGTGGGAAAATCAACCTTATACTTCAGCACAGCGGCTTCATTGTGAAGCGGACCAATGATGGTATGCGCTTCAAGAGGATCGCCAATTCGTGGCTCAAACTGGGCATACGCTCGCTTCAGGCGATCAACTACAGTCTCGAACACAGATTCATGCACCAGAAAACGGCGTGTTGTTGTGCATCTTAATAAAATCGTTCTAAAGAAGGGGAAAAAACCCAATATATGCATGTCGCTTCTTCCAAGGATCATAAAACTGGACTGGAATGTATACTAAAAATTTCTGAAACAAATTTTTTAATATATTGCAACTATTTTCATTGTTCAGCAATCGCGAGGTTTTTAAACAGCATACATTTACTTCCATAAAAACACAATACAATACAACGCTAGCTGACGTTTCGGCAGTATCGCTTTCTTCAGAGCCTCACACTTGGGTAAAAAACTAAGGGCATATGCTGTGTCCTGTCTGCGTAGGTTATGAAAGTTTTTCGCTGAGTAGATTATATAACAGTTTGAGCTTCCCAAGCCCTGAAGAAGACGAAACCATCGAAACTTCAGCTATTGTGTATTAATAAATACTGTAACATTAAGCTCGTGTTTCCTCACCAAGAAGGAGAGTAGATCATTGATCAATGCCGAGGTTAAAAGAAAGCCGGTGTTGGAATTTGCTACAATGGAGACTGCTAGAAACATGTTTCTCATTTGAAGGGCGACAGAAAAGCTAGTGAACTGGTTCTAGGTTATATCGATCGGTCGCTAATTGAAATTCTGGATTCAGTTTACTGAGAATTACTAGGACTATAATTCTGAACGATAAAATGTATTGATAATCAACGAAGATCTTCTTTTGATGATCTACGCAATCCTTTATGAACAGCTTGGGACCAGATATTTGGAAATTTGGATGGCTCATCTTCACAAGTGATATGATACTCAAATGTTATTTAAATGTTCAAGTCTGATCCTGCTGTGATTAGGCGGCATGTATATCTCCCACGACGTGACAAACTGTGACTCGAGTCGTCAACCACATGCGACTATAATCAGCTGTTCTAAACTTCCTCATTGGAAGTCACGAAAAAGCGGCTCTGAAGAAGGCGATACTGCCGAAACGTCAGCTAGCGTTGTATTGTATTGTGTTTTTATGGAAGTAAATGTATGCTGTTTAAAAACCTCGCGATTGCTGAACAAGAAAACGACATATTCATATTCCAATGCCGAGGTTAAGAGAAAGTCGATCCTGGGAACTATTTTCATTGTTCCATATGAATGACACCAGGAAATTTAAATAACAATCAAAAACTCTGAGACGACACCTCTGCCCAGCCGTGCCCACAGCGGCGAAGACAGTAGCAGGAATAACCATATTGAGATCTGCATCATCATTTACAATAATTGCGTTGTTTCCACCAAGTTCGAGTAAGAGCTGCAACAATAGTGATAGTGAAATTAACTGTGAAAGGGTAGCCACTTCAAAAGTCACAGTTACAACCAAACAACAGCAAAACAGACGAAAATCTTAGTAGACCTTTCCGAATCGTTGTTGAACTTGTTGCCCAACGATACGTCCAACTTCGGTTGATCCAGTAAATGATACTAAGTTTACTCGCTTGTCTTTCACCAAAGCTTGTCCAACGTCAGCCTACAAAGCTTTTGAAGGATTTGGATAAGACAATAGAGGTTCGCGAAATTCACGAGATACGGTACAAAACAAAGATCATGTAGTAATAGACTTCACAATCAGGCACTTTGGAGTGCAATCTAGACGAGTATAATTACAATGAAAGAACAACGCTGTAGAAAATCTGGGAAATTCCAGAAACAAAGTTTACCTCTCCACAAACCAAGGAACACAATCCTGTAGGAAGGTTGTTTGCGCGAAGAACTGTTTCAATTAGCCTGCAAGAATAGTATGAGATACGAATTCTTGCTATGTTGGTTTCAAAACAGTGGATGAATTTTCACTTTTTATTCTGTGCCTACCAAAATTTTTCATGGCAGGGTACTATGTAGAATACAACCACAACGACGCTGAGATATTTGCAAAACTCTGGACCGTAGGTGTCTGCGGCGGGCGAACGAGCTGTCACCCTTTCCAGGGGCTAACGCGTTCATCACTGAACCATGCGAGTCCTTCGTTTCGCCTTTCTCTCAGCTAGTAGCTAGTGAATAAATTTGACTTCATAAGTGATACATTGATCCTATGCCTACTTAGTGACAGCGATTGCAGTCAAAGGGGTGGATGGTGCGGGTTTCCAAATCACAGAGTTTCCAGTCACAAGTGCCAGTGCATTATTCCAACCGTACACGGCACATGGAAAGTTGAATGCGGAGATCACACCGACAACACCTAAAAATAAACCTTAGTAAGAAAATAGCTAACTGGTTTACAGATAACTGTGATGCTAAGAAACTGTTTTTGAGAAAAAGTTTGAAAATTATGAGATTGAGAACATGAGGACATGCAAAGAAAACCACTCACTACCAGGAATAAACGTAGAGGTAAAATATTAAGTATTAAATAAAAAGCAGACAGAAAACTTACATCTCTATGTGATCCATTCTATATGGAACAAAAGCGCCTTGAGCCCTAAGGCTCTCAATTACGCAATCATCATTAGCGACGTACCGAGAGGATTCCACTGCTCTAAGAGAGCATGACCCGGTCTCTCCGACGGAAGAATTTGTCCATTGAGTGATCGAGACAAACCAGTTGCATAGTCGCATATATCAACGTATTCCTGCACTTCTCCAACTCCTTCAGCGGAGATTTTTCCCATCTCCATAGACACCTTAGAGAAAAATCTTCTGTGATGAAGTGTACTGCCCAATACACACGACAAATCCAGAAAGGCTACTTACTAGTTTACCCAGGTTCTTAATTTGAGAACGAAGCTTCTCACCAATCTGGCGAACAACTTCACCACGTCGTGGAGGTGGTACATCACACCATTGCTGAAATTCGAGAAACACCTTTAGAACCGTAGAAATTCGTCAACCCACCATTAGATTGAAACGACCTATCCAAATAAAATTCGAGTGACATTCCACATAAATCCATCATTGTATTAATTATGAAAGGAGATTTCAGTTTAAAATATCTAAATCCACCTCATAAGCATTGCGTGCCTCATTAACAGCAATCTCATAGTCTTTCACTGTTCCATTTTGAACCTAAAAATGTTCGAATTCTTCAGTATGATAGAACGAGGTATTAGATGGATGAAGACTTTCACACAAAAGTCTTACAAGTGGTTAACATCAACCCAAAGTGGGGAAGGTTCACGGCAGTAAATAGTAAATAAGCAGTGCGTAAATAGCAGTAATAAGTAACTATACAAACAAAATCCTCCCAACGGTTTACCGCCTCGTCGTGGCTGGGAAGTGCTCCAGGGTGTGGGGTTGCGATGTACACCAAAGGGATTCATCCTCCCAGCAGAGTCTCTCAAGCTGAGAAGGAGTCCGGTATTTCCATCGGGGAGCCCAGTTAAGACTAAATCAATACCAGGATCCACCACCGTGCCGCCGTGCTGGTATCAAACTAGTCACATAGTGGCAAATCTCCATCTGATCGACAATGGCGGCGACCGCCTACGGTGGTGACGATCTAAGGAAGACTTTGGCCAGGGTGACCTCAGGATTCCAGGGAACCACAATGGCTAAACCAGAAAAAGTTCGAAAAAAATGGAAGTTATACCAGGCCCTGCACAACTAGTGAAGATAGGCCATCAAAGTATCCAAGTATACAAACAAAATACAACTCACATTAGCAATTGGCTTGTTATTTGCTGGGCACACTGACGGCACAACTGAACCCGTGGCGGCCCATTTACCATGAAAAACACCGCAGTTGTTCTCCGATAGGCCGAGTTCCTTGAGGAATGCGTATTTAGCGTCGTTGATAAGGAAGGAAGCCATTTGTCTACTCTGTAAGACAGCTCGTCGAGTGCCGAATAACACAATTTTCATCATCATCATAATCGTACACGATCACCGAATACCTGAACAAATGACGATGATAGAGGTAGACTAATATAGAATACAAATGACACGAAACTATGTAAAACGACTATTGACTGGATGAGAAGGAAATGGAAGTGAGAGGTGCATTGAAAACTGGAGACCCGCCCGCCAGTTCCCTCCGGCACATTCAAGTGAAGTTTCCCTGTTTTTTACGAGGTAGTTGTAGAGATGGAGAACTGCATTAGAGATATGGATTGATGGACAAAGGGAATAAGTTCTTAAACCGGTATTCCCTAACAAAATCATCAACGATGAACTTGAAGAAGAATTCCCTATATCCTCATACGTTTCGGATTAGAAAAAGACGATTAGCAATAAAAGCATGAATAATGCAGACTAGTAATGAACAACATATCCTAAGTAGCATCATGTATAGTATTAAACAGCACCTACAGAAGATTTCTATCACCATATTACTATTTGGAAAAGTAGTTTGTTCCATTACAAAGATTTCCAAACTAACTTCATAGATACTTAACTTACTTGAATAGTTGTATGCAGTAAACATAAATAACGGGAGGCAGATAGCACAATGGTAGTGATGTCGGTCATTACGACCGTGGTGATAGTTCGATTCCGCGCCGGGCCAACCAAGCCTCCCATCACTCCAGAGTCGGGAAATTGGTACCGGATCGGTCCGGTAAAAAACCATTCTCTGCAATCCGATTGGGAAAGCTGCAGCCCGGCTGCATCCAGGACCCCAGGCAGAATCGACTCTATCAGCATACGAAGACGTTAATCGAAGGGAAATCCTTAAGCAGCAGCTTAAGCCACACGTAAAAGTTGCAAGACCTTCGTGGATGGTGCATGCGAGGAAACGAATTGAATGCTGGGATCCGCACCGTAGACGTGAACAAGGGTCAGATAGAAATAAAAAAATCATAAATGACATAACCTAGCATAACATCTATGACACAAATCCTGAAGAGAATCGTCATCCCATTTTTTGTAATTTATAGCTATTTCACTTTAATACTTTTCACTTAATTATCGAGCTACTTTATTTAGATTTATTCCCAAATTCATTGATTTTCTCGTTTTCCGTTCTTCCACAGACTGCCGTCAAACATGACCGTGGTAACCCTCACTTTTGACTTATCTCTGAAAGTACCACTGAATATTTCGTTAATTGTTTCACAGCCTATGTCTGGTGTTTGCTTCTCCCTATTAACATGAATGAAGGCATTATCGAGTTTAAATTTCCCACAAAGGAAAAGCCAATTTATTAATAGGGAGGAAAGGAAGAAAGGCTCAAATTTAGAGTGATAACCTCAAATACGGCGGCCAATTACCGAGATGGGCTAAGCTGATTGACGCGCGTGACATGACTTATACTACATACTTACACAACACTTCCAGCAATCTCTAAACAGTAGAAAAAAACAAAAAGAAGTAAAGGTTAAATGAGTGAAAAATAAAAGACGAGTTTTATGGTTGGTTTTCGGGTTTACAGTCCAAGTTCTGTAAGTTTTATTATGTAAGGAAATCGGTATCGGTACTCGACCATAAGCCAAACGGGGTCTATTTGAAAATAGAATATCAAACCATGTATTCTTTCTTTGATAAGCCTACACGAGGTTGACAAATAATTTTTATTCGGCTAACTTTTCGACGTCTTCGCCTTAATCAGAGCCGATGATCAGAGTCGATAGTCCACGGTTCTTCTTCGTCTCGACATGGCGTCTTTGCCTTCGCATCGAGTTGAGTCTTCCTCAGTTGACCATCTCTCGAATGAAGCATACTCACTGGTGATGCCCTCTTGTGCAGGATGCTGATGGTTGATAGCTGTGGTAGTCCGGTAATAGCAACATGTTTTTCCCGGACTATCAATCCTGCAGAAGTCGGTATCATTATGAGTTGGCAAACAGCAATAACAATATTTCAAAACCGACTTTCCTTTAACCTCGGTATTACTAATCAACATGTATTCTTTCTCTGACGAGCTTACACGAGGTTGATCAGCTCTGATGAAGACGAAGACTCGAGATTCGAGAAGATGGCTCATTGAGGAAGACCTGACTCGACACAAAGGCGAAGCTGCAACGTCGAGACGAACAACAAGCATGGACCATCGACTCGGATCACCGACTCTGAGGAAGACGAAGACGTCGAAACGTTCGCCGAAAACAAATATCTTTATAAAGCTCATGTAAGCTCATAAAAGAAAGAATACATGTTGATAAGTGATAAGGTTTTGTGCTAGGAGAATTTAAAACGAGCACTGCATGGGGACATTGGAAAACTCACTAAGGGATATGAAAACCAAGTTACCTAGAAGAATGAAAAGAAGGCTTAAATGTAGGCCGACAACTTCAAATATGGAGGGCAGCCACCGGAGTAAGCTGAAATGAAAATGGCTTCTAATGTGAATGATGCTATTGTGGAGTTAATATCTCCCACAGGAACTGAACAGAGTGCAAACCGAGCTCCATCCATACTCCAAATGTCCAAATGTTCATCCGAAACGGAGATGGTGATTTCCTTTCAGCAAACACTAATGATACTCAAGGGTGTAACTATGCCAAAGCAAGATGAAAAACCGGTTTAATTTTGAAAATTTCTAGATGAAAGTAGGCTTTAGACACCACGTAATAGAACTACAACAAACAAACTCGTCAACAACATCCTAACTGAATCTCAATGTCATTGAAGGACCCAGCCGATGGAGAACTCTTCACCCCGGTACGGTAAGAGCATCTCTATAGCTGTTCTGCTATGTATCAACTGGGCTCTTAACATCTGAATCGAAAAAAATTAGCAATCCGTCGTCTCAGTATCTTCCTCATGAGCGCCCGGATAAGGTGACCGAATGAGAAAAAGTGCTCAAATCCATCAATATACTTTCAAAAAAAACTGATTCCAATTCTAGAACTTCTTCTAACTAACAAACTAACCGTTGACTTGTTTAATTAAGAACTTAGAAATTCTAAAACTAGTTGATAAAGTCCTATTAACCTACTTTTTTTAATTCCTGTTATCCAGCAGTAGGGTAAAAAAGCTCTAAGGCTCCCAGCGTTGATCAATCTCTGAGAGATTTGCCATCCATTCGACTTCATGAAGCATCGTTGGAGGTGATTGAATGCATATCTGGCCTTTACAGTGACTCTCAGTGTGCTACCGATGAACCCATGTTGCTATCCTCCCAAACAAGTGTGGTACCAATTTCTCGACTCCGGGAGAAGGCTTCGTGAACCGCGAGCGCGGAGATCAATCCTAGGTGTGTATTGCAGAGCAACTCCGACCACAGCGCTACACGCGCCACACCCGACCGGTAATTTAGGTAAACATTGTTTCCACCTTCATAATAAATCTCCAAACTTCTGTGCCAGTTCACGTAATGTCTCATTGGTATATTGAATTTTCTTGTTACTGTATAATGTTTACGTCAATCAAAACCGTTGTAGGACTTTCTATCATCGAGTGGCTCGAGTGACATGAAAACATGTACTTTCTGTAGTAGTTCCCACGACCAACTATCAATTAACCTCGGCATTGATCGAGAAATTCATTATTCTCTTGCAAACACAAGATTGTTACTTAAGTTACCTGTTACTTTCAAGTCCTCCCAACGGTTTACCGTCGTATCGTAGCTGGAAGGTGTTCTTGGGTGTCCGGCTGCGATGTGCAGCTAGGGTATTCAGCCTCTGATCAGGGTCTTTCAAGCTGAGAAGGAGTCTGGTGTACCTACCAGGAAGCCCAGCTAAGAGTAATCTAATACACGATCCATCACCGTCTTGGCGTCAAACAAATCCCATGGTGGGAAATCTCCCTCTACAAGGGCGGCTTCTGCTTGTGGTGGTGGCGACTTGAAGCAGAATTTGATAGGCTGACTTCAGGACTCCAGGGAACTACAGTAGTTAAGCCAGCAAAACTTCGAATTTGGTAAAATACTGGCATGGAATCATAGCAAAGATCCACTGTTACTGTTCATTCCGAGAATTTCAGAAGCAACCCAAAATAAATTTAGATTTCACGAGCCCTTATTCTAGCTCCAGTGTTGGGCTTGACTTCTACCTACCTTTAAATCCTTGTCGTTTAGCCTGTTCGTCCCGCTTCAAGAGTTTTAATGCAATTCTGCCTTCCACAATAGGCATCGTTCTATTCGAAACGTTGAGTGGATGGTAGATGGTTTAAGAAGTAACTAAACACAAATTGAGGAAAAAGGCAGTGATTTGACATCAACCTGCAGTGGTTTGTAAACTAAGGTACTCAGGACAGTTATTTCATGTAAAAGGCCGATTCGTGCTTCCCAGATCATTCCCGTTGACGAGTGATTGCCGATGGCACCATTAGGGTAGAAGACCGGCTGAGAGAAAAACGGAGCAAGGGCCTAGGTGCTGCACTGGTTAACAAATGGGCCCCAGAAAGAATACTATTGGGTTCGAAGCTGACCTAGGATCCGAGTTTTGCAAATATTTCAGCATCATTGTGGTCGTTTGACATTTAAGAATTTCATGTAGAAGCCGTATGAGACATATATAGTGGTAGTCAGAGCTTGCCCGCGAAGTATATGGTTGGTTCGACCACACACCATTTGACTAGCGAAGCGTCCCTCCTATCAGAGGTCAGCATATTCCTACCAGAATTGTCCGAAAGGACAAAAAGACAATACGTTGGTGGGCCTCGTGATTCTTTGAGTAGACCAAATATTGAACCCATCCTTACAATGGTTAGTGAGATCGGATGCGTGATACATCCCAAAGGGAAATCAATTCTGAACGCTTTATTGTCTAAGGTTCCATCTAAATTAGTTCCATCATTGACCATCATTTCTTTCAGGCACACTGGCTAGTGACGTTTACTTGATAGTAGTGAAGCTGATAAATGTCTAGAAACTATTGGAACGACTATTTTTCTTTTCATTAAAGTAAAATGATCACATTGTTTGTCAAGGTGAATCGTGCAAAATCAAATTCATCACAGGCTGAAAGGGACGTACACTGAGAAATCTCAAGAACATTACAAGTACACCAGAAGCATTAAACATTCGATGACTGTAAGTAATTCACGCCAATTATGTAAAAATCCAAAACCCGAATTCAAAGAGTAAACTAACAGGGTTTTAAACGTATATGTCAACATAAATTGTCATTCCGAAATGAATTTGGAAGATGGGACTATGAAGAATACCTAGACGTAGACCACATAAAGTACAACATTTTAAACATCTCAATTACAGTAAGTTGATCTTAGTATTACAAACCAGAACTGTTCTCAATGAAATATTATACAGTATGCAAAAGAACATTATGAACTCAACATTAATACATGAATTATAAACAAACATCCAAGAGTTACCGTTTGAAGAACTATAGGCGCAACGAGTTAGTCTCTCATCACAAGTAACACGTTGCTAACGATCCTACAAGATAATGCAAATATCTACAAGGATCAACTCCAAATGAAAATTGGTAGTCCATGACCATACAATAAACGTTAGCACAACTATGCTTACATGTGACTTATCTTTTCCGCGAAGAAAAAGTCTATAAAATCGTTTTTACAAAACCAACAATAACGTTGGCAGCTAAGAGCACCGTCCCCATAGTTAAAATGATTGAAATTATTTGTTGACGATGCCTAAATGTGACGATCCATTACATAGCAATCAACGAAAAAACGATAAGGCATGTTATAAAAAGTGTTTGTAATTAGAAAAATAACTAGCCAAATATCAAAGAGGAAAAGTAGATCGCGAAATCGTAATGCCATGAGGCCTAGTGAAGTGTCAATCGAACAATCTATCATCATTACCCTATAAACCAATATTCCGCATAAAGATACTCTACTCCTTCGCACCATTGTAGTTCTCATGGCAACTAAACTGCGTTTGTAATAGAGGTCTAGTCACCGTTACTCTAGTGGAACTCGATATCAACGGAAAAACAAACGCCCAAGAAAAAATCACTTAAGATCTTTGCTAACTAACATGAAGAGTAGTCACATGTTCGTAAGAACTAAAAAGATAAAACTCTCGGCGTTGATCAATCGCTGATGGATGCGCCATGCATTCGACTTCAATAAGCATCATTGGAGGTGATTGCATGCATATCTGACTTTTACAATGATTCCTGGTAGCCTACCGATGTATCGAGCCAGTGCTGCTATCGTCCCAGACAAGCCTGGTACCAACTTGCCGACTCCGGAGAGATGGAAAGCTTGGTGAGCCTGGGGTGTAGGAACGGACCGATGTGGAGTGCAAATCACCTCTAACCACTGCCCTATACGCGTAATAACGGCAAAATAGGAGTCAGAGGGTTCGACTTTGGTACATATGGACCATTAAACGCGACCCAAAAAATCTAAACATAGATATGACAGTCCACCAATAGCACTGGCCATGTGGATAGGGACATCATGTTTAACGAAATGTTCTACAGTGTGGTTTGCATCGGATTCTACAATGTTATTCCTGAAAAATTGGTACAACCAGAAAAAAAAACTAAGAAGTCAATTTTATCACTAAATAATAACAAACAGGGAAATAATACGATACTAATGAGCTCCTAAATGAATACCACACGATTTCTACAGATTGAGAGAAAGCTTACAATTAGCAACCCTAAGAACTTCATACGGAAAAGTCCTGCTTTATTGGAGCCGAAAATCACACCAAATTTCTAGCACCACAGTGCTCTTATCGATAACGATAACGTGGCTAGGCCCAAATGGAACAGAAACTGTTCGACTATTACCCAAAACTCGGTATTGACAACGTAGAGTGAAGGATTCGTCCAATAATGCTACACCAGTAAACAATTTTCTAAATAAGCTTTCAATAATAGTCTGTAATTCTTCGATTACTAGAGTATTCGGTAACTATGGGACCTAGAGACACTAAATATATAGTAGTTTTCTTCGGTGAGTGTGCAAAGCTGTGTTCAAAGTGATTGAAATCTTGGTTTGGAGTTTCTTTGTTTGGTTATGGAGGCGTCTGGCCGATTGGATTGCTATCAGCTTGACCTTTCCAAGCTCTGAGGAAGGCGAAATCCGCCGAAACGTCAGCTTAATCGTGAACAAAGAATAATAACACCTCGCGTTTACTCAACAAAAATACGAAGAAAATTACTTGATCAATACCGAGGTTAATAGAAAGTCGGTCGTGGCAGTTACTAAATATATACATATATATACACTTACTTGAACAGCCCCTCCTCACTGGTTATGCGAGCCCCAGCTTAATCACCACTTTTCGGAGATTTGCTGGTAAAGCCATTATAGCTCCCTGGAATCCCAAGATCAGCCCGGCCAAAGTCTGCATCAAGTCTTCACCACCACGGGCAGCCGCAGCCCTTATGAATCAGAGGGAGATTTGCCACCATGCGACTTTGATACCAGAACAGTGGCGGATCCTGGTATTGGTTTACTCTTAGCTAGGCTTCCTGATGGAAACGCCGGACTCCTTCCCAGCTTAGAAGACCCTGCCGGGGAGACGAATCCCTCCGCTGTACATCGCAGTCCGACACAGGAACACCTCCCAGCCGCGATGAGGAGGTAAACCGTTGTGAGGATACATATATACACATATATATATATATATATGTATATGTATACATTTGCATATATGCATATACATGTATGTGTATGTATACATATATATATATGTGTATATGTATGCATACATATATGCGTATATACACATATGTTCACATATATGTGCATATATATGTATGTATATATATATATATTACTTCGGCTGTGGAAATTATGTTGAGCCATTTAATTTCTCCTCAATATCTCTGGTGTTCGAGAGCTTCAATGAGTCTCAGTGAAAAAGAAAAGCAAAAAAACCTTCCTTAATTAAAAACAGAACGCCATGTCATCGAGGCAGAATAAATACTTGCACTTTATTGATTTCCTCCATTTCTTTCCTCTTCACTTCCTCAAGGGTTTTAATTCCAATTAACAAAGATTACTACTTGGAGAGTGTTCCTTTAAAGTGAAGAATTCCACAATTCTGGCCACAATGCACTAAAGGGTAGTGCAGTGGTAGTGATCCCGTTCATTATGCACATAGTACAACCTACCCAGGCATTGGTTTGACTTCGTTCTGGTCCAACCAAGTGTCTCATGTCAGGAAAATGGTGCCAAAATAGTCTTGCAGATCACTCCCTTTAATATGTATTCTTTCGTTAATAAGCTTACACAAGGTTGATAAACAATCTTTATTCGCCCAATATTCGACGTCTTCGTCTTCATCAGAGCCGATGATCCTAATCGATAGTCCACAGTTCTTCGTCTTCTCGATGTGGCATCTTCATCTTCGTATCGAGTCGAATTTTCCTTAGTGAAGCATCTCATGATTGAGATGTTCTCGCCCGGCGACACTCCTTTATATAAAATGCTGGTTGTTCATAAAAGTGATTGTCCGATAATAACAAATTGTTCTTTCCTGACAATCCACCACTCCGTTTAATCCAGGCGGGAACACCACAGCAAGGCTATCTCAGAATTCCAGCGAGCATCGACCAGCATTCAACGACACTCGTGAAGAAGCCGACAAAATCCCCAAAGCAGCAGCCAAAACCATAAGCAATTTCAAGATTTTCACGAACAGGCGAATGCGAAGAAACAAAGCGAATGCAAGAAGTGCTGAGATCCGCCCACTGCAATACATGTGGTGTCAGGGCATGTAGTAGAAAACAAAAAGAAAGTACTGAAATTAAAAAGATACTGCGGGTCCTGCCTGTTCGTCTCCTTAATTCTCGTCAAGTACAAAAACGGAACTACAACGAAAAAGCAAAATCGATAAAATAACTACTGCGACCTATGACCCACCAAAAAGTCTGTTCATATGCATCGTACCATAACTAACAAATCAGGAAAAGTTCTGGTTACACATCATGCCCATCATGCCCACTTCTGCCAAGTACAAAGGATGACGCAGTTGCATGCGTGGAAAAAAATCCAAAGGGTTAATACCACTCTATCCTTAGATTTTTATTCCTAGTTTTATTCTACGATAATCCGCAGAAAGCGCACTGGTTTGAGTTGCCATGCATTGAACGCGTGGTTGACAGTTTGATCCCACTCTTGACCAACCAAGCATTCATCCCTCCGAGTCACAAAATTTCACAAGGACTAAAGTTGTATAGGAAAACTATTTTTAATCAAAAAACCTTGAAACTGCTTGTGATGAAAATCTGCTCTAATAAATAGACACAAAATTTAAGACATAGTGAAATAATAAGCTAAAATAAAACATTATCGTCGAGATGGACCATTTAACTGAAAATGAGAATAAGATCAATAGATTATTGTTAAACGTACCGTCTTGAGAACACTTTACACGCCCAATTAACACACGTTATAACGATATATTGCCCGTCTAGTGCATAACAAGGCACGCTGTTGAGTAGACCAAGAGCCAGCGATAAAGTGAAGAGATATTTAGGAACGAGTTCCACTGATTCTGCCCAGTAGTGTGGAACCCATGAAAAACGGGCAACTAGTGGATCGATTCGTACATACGTGATTAGCTAAAAGAGCTAAAGATTAACGAAGCAAAAGCATGATCAAAGTGAGATAAACCTCGTCCAAATTCCCAACGTACAAAACCGGTCTGGCATGGTTTCTAACAGAAATGCGAGCCAACTGTGTACCATTGAACAATGCTGCGAACACGCATATCCGCTCTTCGCCCACTCCATCCTTGAATACTATCTTAGTTTTATTTTCAATTAATGTTAAACGTTTGCGTACACTATAAAAAAGCAGATTTGAAGGAAGTACTCTTTATTTAAGATGTGACACCCCTACTCTTCTAAAGTAAATAACAGAAAGACTACATCCAATTTCTCTAGCAAAACCAGGTAAAGATCAGCAGTTATATATTGGCCGATCTGGTGGATAGTAAACGATTCTAACATTAACAGACAAAATTCCTACTCACATACGGTTTCCTACGAACGTTCACTACCTCAATGCAGCTGGATAATGAATTTCTGGGTGTCGACCTGCGATCAAGCGTGGCTCTTCAGGAAGCCATGCGAGTAAACCAATGCACAAAGTATACCGATTGCCTGTGATGACTACCTGAGAACGTCCAACAAGGCTACCTCGAGGATAACTAATTAGCAAAACAGGAAGCTAACCGGTCTAGCGGACATCGGCCAATCTCGGTAACCCTCATATTGCGTGCTCCCGCATATGATGTCGACTGTTGGAACAACAATTAAGAAGTGATAGAAGTGATGAAATATCGGACTGGAAAAGACGTCAATGAACCCAAATGTAAACCAGACTTTCACGAACCGCCATAAAGGCAACTTTTTGCTCTATGCCTACAACGTGTAGTGTCGGTATAAAGGCGCGCGTGTAGTGCAGTGGTTAAAGTCACCATAGAATACACATGGAATGGATCCCGCGCCCCAGGCTTACCAAGTCTTCCATTCCTGTGGGGTCGGCAAATTGGTACCAGACCTGTCTAAGAGGATAGCACCACTGACTCGACACATCGCTAGGCCACCGCGATTCATTGTGTAGGTTATATAGGCATCCAATCACCTCTAAGCTGCTGAATGAAGTGGCATGCATAACGTATCTATCAGGAACTGATCAACACCGAGAGCTTTTTAACCTACAAAACGGGAACAGCCTCGTCAACCGCCAACCTCTGTCCTCTTCCTGGGCCCACAAGTCACATCAAGCCCGATGCGATCTCCCTACAATAGGCAAAAAGCAAGGAACGCTGCACACTTCAACTAAATGACTATTTTCATTTATAAAGAAAAGACCCATTCACTGGATGTAGTTGCCGAAGATTTTGGCGACCAGCCTTCTGTTAGCCATCTCATTATAACTCAAATGAAAAAGTTTTCGATCATTTGAAAGTTATGCATCTTCAATCTGCGTAAAAACAAACACCAGTATCACAAACTGCTCTTTCTCAAAGTGCACCTGATGAGAGCTATTTAGATGCGTTCTACTTATTAGCTGAAGAGGTAGTTCACACGAAATGTCCATCTATAAATTTGCTGTTGAAGATTTCAAGGTCACAACAGCAGAAATACAGCGAAAGTGGATACAGCATCAAGAATTATAAAAGAGGAGACCGCAATGAAAATAGAAAATTTATTGTGGCGCCTCTTTTCAAACCAAACCTACTCCAAGAAAATCTACCCTTTGAAAAGAAGGAAAGTTCCTGTTGAATATGGGCAGCGGCAAACGCTACGACATATCACAATGTCACAGATAGAATATGATGGCTCTTTCACACTTTTATATCATCCTCTTGTTGAATCTCATTACCACCCTCGTTATTCAAATGCTCGATTCAGTCACACGCTAAAAAAAACTTCGTCATTGTGCATGAAGAGAAAGACAAACTAAGAATGCTTAAGTTCTCCAAGCAGAATCTTGAAACTGAATATCTACCACCTAAGGAGCTACCTGAAAAGAGAAGAACAGTAATGCACCATTCAAGTTGTTTACAAAGATTACCATCGATGTCAGAAACCTTGTATGGAGTCCAGCCGGTCAACAAGTTCGGTCTCAACAGGGTTCTACTGCATGAATTACGTCCAGATCATGTGCAAGGTTATAAAAATCGGTCGGAAACACCATGTGCCTATTGTTCTCTCAGTCGACTGTGAAAAAACGTTCGACAGCGTTGAAATGAATGCGCCCCAATCAGCGCTCGAGACTAAGGTTCAACTGATATATGACCATGGTTACGGATGAACTTCCATTATGCATCGCAATTCACTATACGTATACATGACCTAGCTACTGTGACAGAAGGTATACCTCCGATATAAATGCTTAATCACTACTATGCTAATTATTACTTAAAAAATGGAAAACATCTGCTCTTTAGGTTCCCTTCACAACAACCCAATCCTTCATAGGTCAATACAACGAACAACCCGGATTTAGTTCAAATTCAATATAACCATATTACCTTGCAGCGCACTACGACTTTTCAAGCAATTGTAATTATTACTATAGAAATTCTCGTATGAAATATGCCATGGAGACACACCAATCAATCTCCATTTTGCAAAGCAAAAAAACAAGCAAAAAACACCTCTGCGCAGATTGTTGTGTTGTTGCAAGCAGGTTGAGCAGTAACGTACTGAGCTGAAAGACAACTGAATTGTCGGGAACGCTTCTGCTTTTCGTAGACCACTTCGGTTGGCTAAAAATATGAAACCTCGAGCACTTTTGAGACAAAAACGAAAGACTTGCACCTAACTAAAAAAAATCTGAATGTTTAACCAACTTCAATCACATTGACACGAAGCATACGATTCAGCGAATGCGCTTTTGTGACGAAATTCTTAACTGTCACTTGTAATATTGACTCAAAACACATGTGAGCATAGGTGATGTTTGCGAAATCATCACAACAGTGCAGTTCGTCCAACGACATCGATGTCTGTAAAATAGGTAAACCTCTTGTGTTGTAAGTAGGGGTACGCATAGAAGAAATGCATTATAAGACAAAGATATATAGCAAAAACGAAAGTGTGTTCCAAAAACAAACGTGTTAACGAGCAGAGAACGTGAGCTATGAGTTAGCTATCTAGAATCTCTACTAGTATATCTAAGCCTAAACGGAAATATACAAGACAAAAAACGAATGAGTGAATGTAAAACAACCGACCTTAGTAGCTAGCGATGCATCGATGACCGAACGTGGGACACAGCGGCCTTGTCTCACCTTCTCCAGATGTTGCACACATTCCCGCCAGTCCTCATGCTTTCGAATAATGCAATCATCAATAGACACTACTACATCTCCAACTGACAAGCCACCCACACCATAAAGACCAGAGCGACTATCAACACCTTGAGTGCAGCAGCCTTATGTGAGCATCAATATATTCTTAGAAACTACCCTTGCTGAACCATTGCGAGATTGGTATAAGCTATTCGAGAACACGTCCACACTGGGAACAACATGGGTGGTCCCAATGGCAACAGCATGGCTTTGAGGAAGACGAGGTCGAAACGTCAGCCATCCAACAACAGCAATGACGACAGCAACAACGACAACAACATAACAACCTCGCATCGGCTCAACAAGGGCAGTTCGTAAGAACACAAGTAAGAACATAAGGCAAATGTCGACTTTCTATGCCGAGATTTATAGAAAGTCGGTCTTTTGAGTTATTACGTGGACAATTACTTAAAATAAATGTCAAAGGATAGATTACAATAACCTCTATAAGAAGAAAAAGAATTTGGACTCAAAGTCAATTAATCTGTGGTGGTAATCTGACCTGTCACAGTTACTCCTTGACCTTGGCCAAAGAGTGGAGAAAGGATGTAAGGTGTCCAAATGAATATCAGATATGCAATACCGGCTAAAACAAGATTGTGCCAAATGCCTCCACCAAATACTTCTAGTCGATGACGAGGGTGGCTACGTCCTGAACCACGGCTACTACAACAAACCTGAGGCATGGTGTACAAATTTTTCATGTGAAACCTGAGATAAACACACTCAATGACTCTTGGTCGATGTCGGTAAATGCTCCAGGATATAATCCTAACAGAAATAATCCAAAACCATTAACACGAATGTTGTATGTTTTCGCAGCCGATGAGTGACCCAACTACAAAACGTACTAAACACTAAATGGAACAAAAAACTCCTCGATAGACAGAATAAAATGTGAGAAACCTCGTGTATTACAGCTGCTATAGCTAAAACAATTACAAAAATCGGTATATGACTCCAAGGCAAGTTCACTCCAGGGATGATAGGCACCAGACCTAACAAATAATCAACCAGAACTTTTAATCGGAATTCAAAAAACGATTGACAATCCTGGATCCTGAAAAGAATAACAAGCTAACCTGTTTCTGCTCCAGCTGAACCATCTAGAACGTCGTATTCCTCAGTTGGTGATGGAGGAAGATCGTTTATCCTTGGTGTCTTAAGAGATAATAACACTCACCAATGTACATAAAAACATTAGATGGCCTTATACATAATAATAATAATTTACCACCCCACGGCTTGAAAGTAAAGGGAGTTGGTGTTCCTGGATGTCGAACTACAATGTGCAGCTGGCCTTAAACTTAAAGAAGTGTCTTAGAAAACGAGAAGACCAAATTTTCCACCCAAAACCTCAGAAAACAGTAGACTAATGCCATCAACCGAACCCTTCCTGGTAACAAAATAGTCACAATGTGGCAAGTTTCCTCTGATTCACATAGGCCGGTGAATGTTGTTGTTAACTTAATAAAGCCCTAACACGGCTATCCCACTACGCATCAGGGAAAAAATCTAACCCTTCTAGAAAACTACTAGTCACATGAAAAATGTTGTGGAACCCATAAGATTACTTCTGAAGAATGACATTCATATTGAAGAATACCTAAGATCAATACCTCTGATTGAGTGAGCGGTGATATGGGATATGAACTAGATCGATATGGAACGACTTTACGTCGAATAGACAGCAAGTAGGAAACATCTGGAATATTTAACAATAACAGCACAAAGATTGAGACAAGTATACAAACTCTCTCCAAAATATATTTCACAGTGTGGATATCTACTTCCATGACCCCTTACAGAGTCAGAGAATGAAATTCGCAGAAATTTTTGACACTGTGAAATTAGTGTATTTAATAATCGTTTCTGGTCGACTCACCAAAAACACAACAACACACTACGCTCAGTAATATTAAACGCATCATTTGACCCGCTTTTTATTTCGCACAAATGTACACTCCAAGTGTGGAGGAGATAAGAATAAAGGATAAAGCCCACGAGATTGATCAATCCCTGAAGGATGCGACATGCATTCGACCCATTGCACCGGTAGAAATGATTGAATGCATATTTGGTCTTTACAATGACTCGCGGCGGCCTATTTGCAGATCCCGGAGAGAAGGAAGGCTCGATGAACGTGAGGAGGGGGATCTCATGTGGTATTGTAGGGCTCCTCCAATCACTGGGTTACACGTGGAGGATAGGATAAAATTTTTCTGAAGCTAGTAACTACAAAACAGTTGAAAAGAGGAGTACAAGAAACAAACAAGCTAGACTATCAAAAAAGAATCTTACATCAGTGAGCCCACCTCGATAAAGAAGATGAGAGAGATATGCCGTAATCCCAACCAAACAAAAGAAAGCGGTCATTGCTCCAAATGAGAACCACAAAGACTTAATCTTCCGTGTTATTAGGATGTCATTTGAGGCCGGTAGATAAGCTCCTTCATTATAACGTGCTACATACACACGTAACTAAAAACAGTTCGAAATAAAAAAAAGACCTAGATTTAAAATGCCTTTCACTAGGTTTTGAAAAATACACGCCTCCAAACAAATATGCTCGACGAGCACAAAAATGGTTTCGATCCTTATCGTTATGATTAGAAAGCAATCACATCTTTATCACTGTGACTTCATCTAATATCCCGTTACCTCCAAACAGTTTACTGCCTCATCGTAGCTGGAAGGTGTTCTGGATGTCAGGCTCCGATGTACAACGGGAGGATTCATCCCCTAAGCAGAGCCTCTTAAGCTGGGGAGTCCGGCGTTTCCATTTGGAAGCTCTGCTAATAGTAAACCAATACCAGGGCGCAACACCGTCCTGGTATCAAACTAGTTGCCTGGTGGCAAATCTCCCTTTGCTCTACAAGGGCGGCAACTGCCTGTGGTGGTGACGACATGGAGCAGACTTTAGCCAGGCCGATCTCGGAAATCCAGGGAACCACGATGGTTAAACCAGCAAGACTCCAAAAAAGTGGAAATTATGTTGGGCCCGCACAACCAGTGAAGAAGGGCCATCTAAGCACCCAGGTCAGTAACATCCCGTTAAGCTGAAGGTTTTAAACTGTGAAGAAACGAGAAAATTTCAAAAATCATTTCACTAAATCGGTTTCTACCAAATACGACACTAACAAACCTGAAAAGGGCTAACTTCCAAGCCGTATTTATTGGCGAAGTTCATGTAAGGAACGAAATTCCTTACTCGGAGGACATAGTCAAGCAAAAATATAGAGCTCCACGAAATAAGGAAATAACTGAGCGCTGCGGTGAAGAGCATCGATTTTCGAAATCCCAAATGTCAGCAATGTTTCCGTCTCATGGCGACTGTCTATCTAGCAAGTTCTGAACTGAAAACGACGAAGATCATCGTGAGTCAAATGTAAGGGTTACAGGAGAAAACTAAAGCGTTTATCGGAAAAAAGAATAACAGAACCGTACAAAGTACAAGATGGCAACAATATAAAAGGATAGGAAAACGAAAGAAGAAACTATACACGAGCAAGCAGGTCGAGATTATAAAGAAATGTGAAAAGCAGTCAGAGATCCTTCTTGGCTATTGAGAACTTTAGTGATGGGTCCATAACTATTTGCCTTTGCTTGATGAAAACCTATGGTATCCATTATGGACCAGCCATAAGAGTCACCACAAAGAAAACTTTCCGATGTTTAAACTCGCAAAAATCTCTAAAATAGCAAAAACTAAGGCTTTTCTTAGACATAAGACCAGAACCGCTTTCATTCGTTTGATGCAAGCCAATATGTGGTTATTGTGATTTGCTCAAGTCCAGAAAAGATCAGGAAATTGTGAGAAAACATTGTGGGGAACAAACCTGTAGAAGTTAATTTTCTGAATGTTCTACATAAAATCTAATCCATACGCCATTTATAGAGTAACAGAAAGTTAGGAATCGCAATTTACAAACTCCGTTCATTCTAGGTTTCGTGTAGGTGGCTCAGACACATAGTTCTACGTAAAATTCCGACCGAACATCATCCCTGAGTCATCGGAATCTCTGTTTCGTAAGCCGACGATAATCTATTTCTTTTCATGAAGAACAGCACTTGCCCAGAGGAAGAAGAATCACAGCAGAAAAATTCCTTTAGATTATGATCCAAGCACTTTCCTGAAGTGAAAATGACCATCCAGAACCAAGAAACACGTTTTGCGGCTGAAGTCCGGAAGAACGTGGTACAAACACTAAACATGAAAGTGGGAAACTAAAACACATTGCGATAGCTGAAGATTATAGGAAAACTTAAACTTAAAAGGTTGCTTCAAATTGTACTGGAAAGGAATTCACATGATGTCCCGGGCTTCCGTAGGATTCGCCTTTGAATTGAAACGGGTGAAAGTGCAACCACTGGAAAAAAAAGAACAAGACTAAACGTACTCCACTACACATTTATTGATTACTGCCTAGCATATCACTTAAAAACGCTACTTTATTAAAGAAGAAACATCGATGCCAATGAAGCACAGATCTGTCAGGGGATCGAACGCAATGAGAAACGCTTACAAAATGCTTGGCAAAACTATGAATGTTAACACTTATTGAAAGAATAAGGTCATACAGACTCCGTCCAGGGCCACTATTATAGAACCTTAGAATGTAATATTAAAAATTTGATAGAAATGGGTTCGAATAGACCCTGGAGTCCCACCAGGAATATCATTGAGAATCCAGTACGCAAACATTTCCGACAAATGACCAATTGTCTTACAACGAATCCCGAACGACTTTACTTAGAAAGAAACAAAGTAAAAACCAAGTGTTTAAAGCAAACACGTAAACTTACCTCATCTTTACAATGATCAAAAATTATAAGAAGCATTTACACTGTAGCGATGGTCACATGCGAAATGAGCGTGGTAGTGCTAGAAACAAATAAAAACGGAGATCTGGTTTGCAGACATCTTCCAGAGTTTCCCGGAAGAACGGCGAGGAAAACGAACGCCCATTGATTTGGAAGAGTCAAATTTCACGTACGTGACTTCATTAGAAGCATGCTAGAGCTGACTGAATACGTACTTGAACTGCAAAATGACTTTTTAAAATTCTACCTTATACACCAAACCAATGTTTTTAGAATCCAAGACAAGTCTGCTAATAATATGAGATTCCCAGAGGGATGGATAACCGGCCCAGACCTCGTAACGCGGAGTCGAGCCGATCACCGCGTACCTATTGCGGGACACCTTTAACCAATTGCACTACACATGCTTTATACATCTGACAGGGTCAGAACCATCAACGTTTAGCTATGAAGCTTAGCATAATTTAAACATACAGGCGGTGTTTACATAAATCGAATGTAACCAAAGTTCTAATGTAACAAAATGTAACAAAAAAGAGAAGTCAAACATTTCTGGAATAATCTTCTCTAAAGACAACTGAGACATAAAACTGGTAAGAACAGAGTTTTCCTAAAGGAATGACAGTAGTGGTTTTTCTTCTCTCAGACGATGGTTAATATAAGCTGTGATTTAATAAAATTTATACAACAATCTAACTACGGCACCCAACAAGCAACACTATCTGATAATGTTATCGAATCGCTTCTGGTCTTTCTTCTCTTTCAATCTCATTCAAGGTCCCTCTCTTATCTTTCATTTCTACCCCGTTCGATTCTTTTCTTTTGTTGTATTTCAGGAGTCTGTACACATGGCATTATCGCACAATAAACGCTTCTGCATGATTTCCACTTGGGAAACAAGCATGTAGGGAGCACTTGCTAGGCAGAAGAAATAACAGTTATGATGAGACTAATCAATATAGATTAAACTTGGGACATTAAACTTCTTGAGTGAATGGTTATGATCACGGATGGAGGTGAATGTGACAGGGCTCGATACGTAGATAAGCATTACCTACTCACTTATGTGAAGGAAAAGAAGATGAAGAACGTGATGGCGCTACTTGTGTTTTTGAAAGATAATTCTATTTACTCCTAACTACGGTTTCTACAGTTTCGAAATGGTAATCCTTAGCGGTGTGCCATGCGTTAGATTCCATTCGTAGCATTGTAGAAGTGATTCAATGAATATTTTATCTGTGAAATGATTTACGTGGGACTACCGATGTATCGAATGTGTTCTTATCATTCCAGAGAAGCCTGGTATCAATCCGGCAACCACTGAAGGATGAAGGGTTTGGTTTTCCCAAATGCGGAACCGGACCAAAGCTTCTTTTTGTTCTGTAAGGCACCTCTAAACACTATGCCATACGCAAACTTTTGATGAGATGATGGTACCGACGAAGTTTACCGAATGACGTCTGTCCGTGTGAGATGAAGTGAAGGCATCAGATGGTGTGTTCGGTCCATACTATTCTGGGATCTTTTAATATTTATTATTTGTTAGACTAATTCTTAGCTTTATTTCATCTCACATAAGACCCCTGGATGCTGGCATAAAAACTTCTGGCTGAACTTCGTCTTCAGAACACCGCACATCCACGCAACACACTGAGCGTGTAAGGTTCAAGGAAAGTCGGTTTCGAAATACTACTACGCTTTGTGCTAGCTGATAATAACACCGACTTCTGCACGATGTGCGCAATGATGCATGTCCGGAAGAAAAACAAGTTGTTATCACCAGACATTATCATTATATCGACCATCAGCATCGTGTATAAAAGGGCATCACTGGGTAAGGATGCCTCATTCGAGAAGATGGCTCACTGAAGAAGACCTGACTCGACACGAAGGCGAAGCTGCCACGTCGGGACGAATAACCATCGACACGGATCATCGGCTCTGAGGAAGACGAAGACGTCGAAACGTTAGCCGAAAATAAACATCATTATCAACCTCGTGTAAGCTCATCAAAGAAAGAATACATGCTGAGCGTGTATGTCCACTCTATTACGTATACGCATAGAGTCCTACATAACATGTCTGTGGAGCCCTGCCCTTCCACTCAGCCGCGTCTAATGGCGATCACTTCTTAAGCAGATCTCTACCAAACTTACTTGGGATACTTGGATAGCTCGTCCTCACTGATTGTGCAGGCCCCAGCATAACCTCCATTTTTTCGGAGATTTGCTGGTTTAGCCATTGTGGTTCTCTGGAATCCTAAGGTAAGCCTGGCCAAAATTTGCACCAGTTCGTCGCAGTCGTTGTGGATCAGAGAGAAATTTGCCACCATGCGACTAGTTTGGTACTAGGACGGTGGTGGATCCTGGTACTGGTTTACTCTTAGCTAGGCTTCCTGATGGAAACGCCGAACTCCTTCTCAGCTTGGAAGGCCCTGTCAGGAGGACGGATCCCTCTGCTGTAGAATGCAGCCCGACATCCAGGAACACCTCCTAGCCACGATGAGGCGGTAAACCGTTAAAATCTCTAGCATAACCATAAAAATATTATAACTAGATCAGAAACTCTATAGCTTCGTTCGAATATATGTGTACGAAGAAGTTGTTCTGTTCTTAATGCAAATGAAATCTAATCCTGGTTAAGGATTTTCGCTGTTTTGGTTATAGAAGTGATTGCCTAAGTGGACTGCAGTCAACCAGACCTTTTCAGGCTCTGAAGAAGGCGAAATACGTTGAAATGTTAGATTTAGCGTCAATAAAGAATAAAGCAACAACCTCCTGTTTGTGAATTATATGGAAAATTGTTGTAAACGAGCTTACAAGCATAGCGTATATATCAAGGACAACCTTCCAAATGACAAGACTGTTGCTTGTCGTTCAGGTGATGGCGTTCACAAAAGTCTCGTTGTACGCTTTCGCTGAAGGTAACGTTGTTCAAAAGGTAGCGGGAGAAGCTGTGTACTTTTACTTGACTACTCTTACTTTTACTTTTATTTACTAGTTCTTATTATAAGAGGATTTTCCTCAGTGTTATTTTCAGTATTGTTTACCAGTAGTACAGCACCAATACGGGGAACCACCACCGTTCTAGTGTGAAATTAGTCGCATGGTGGCAAATCTCCTTCTGATCCACAAGGGCTGCGACTGCCCGTGGTGGTGAAGACCTGGGGCAGATTTTGGCCAGGCTGACGTCAGGATTCCAGAGAGCCACAATGGCTTAACCAGCAAAGCTCCGAAAAGTGATTGTGCTGGGGCCCGCACCACCAGTGAGGATGGGCCATACAAGTATCAAGTAACTAAGTACAGCAGCAAAGATCTACTTAGATCTCTGAACACTTTTGTCATAGGATATTCATTTTTCTCTATTCGGTAGGCTATTTTTTGTTAAGTTAGAATGGAGAAAATCGATCCACTGAGCTCAACATTCCATCAGGACCGCAGTTTCGAAGGATGGATCCGTTTT